ATTTGAGTTCCTCTTCCTTAGTCCAGAAGGAGCTCAGTTGGTGTAGGACACAGAGACTCCATGGTCTGCTTTTGGGTATGTTAGAGTTGTGGCTGGACAGTGGCAACACAAACAATAACCATTGTGTCGATCCCTTGTGCAAGGGTAAGTCATGAGACTAATCTCTCATCATTAGAATATAAGTGGCATGCTTAGGGTCTTAACACTATACTATAAACAGCACATAGAGATGTTATTGTTGTTAAGTGCTCTTGAGTCAAGTACAACTCCCAGAGACCCTATAAACAACATATCTGAACCCTGTCCTACCCTGAACCATCATTGTCGTCTCTGACACAATTGAGCTAATTTCTACAACTACTGTATCAATCCGTCTCACTGAGTCTTCGTTTCTTTTGCAGGTTCTCCATCTGTCCAAACATGATGTCTCTTTCTATGGAGTGGCACCTCATAACACCATGCCCAAAGTATGTGAAACAAAGCTTTGCCATCTTTGCCTCCAAAGAGGACTCAGGCTGCACTTTCCCCAAGACATAGCTGTTTGTTCTTTTGTCAGTCCATGGAATAGTCAGGACTCTTCTCCAATGCTCAGAGGCATTGATTCTTCTTCTGTTACCCTTATTTATTGTGCAGCTCTCAGATGCTTAGCAGGTGATTGGAAAGACTATAACTTATAGCTTATATCAGATTCACCTTAGTCTTTAAACTGATATTATTATTTTGCAGGACTTAAGGGCTGTCCCTGACAATCCATCTCCCCTATGCTATATGTCTCCTAATTCCCTGACTGCTGATACCAAGGATGTTGCTTGAGAGTTCAAGTATTATGTAATTGTTGAAAATTAAATCTATGATGTTGCCTATTGGCCCAGTGGCAATTTTTTTTTGTTTTGCTATGTTAAATGAAATGCGTTTTGAAGGCTTTAGCCCTTGATATTCTGCAGCGAGGGCCTCTAGACCTCATTTTCAGTAAGCAAGTTTATGTCATCTTCTTAACACAACTTGTTGAGTCTTCCTCCAATCCTGATGCCACATTCTTCCTCATAAAGTCCAGCTTCTAAGCAACAGATTGAATAGGTATGGAAAAAGGATACAGCCCTGGTGCACACCATTCTTGATTTTAGATTCTGTAATGTCCCCTCCTAGCCTCCAAGGAGAGACTTGGTTTCACCCTCTCCAAGACAGACCTATTTGTTTTCTTGGAGGTCATGTTATGTTTAAGACTCTTCTCCAGCACTG